CAGAAAAAACGCTGTCACTGCAAGATGAAAGAAGCAATCCCAACATTTTCAGATCCAGAACTTCGAACTCTTGAATGTCAAGCGATGGAACTGAGTTGGTAATATGATGAAAAATATAGTCATTAGATTCATATGATTGTACGATGTGTTTGAAGCGAACCGCGTGCAAATTTTTTCATTTCAGCGCTAATGACCTACATTCGGTTGTATCTGACTGTTATGCAAATTGTTGTTAAGTCGTGGTCGCTAGAGACTCAATGACTTTAATTAGTGATTAAAATCCAATCGAGATTGATAGTCAATTATAGTGTCAAATCTGGCTTCAAATCAAAAGTAAATGTATTCTAATATGCCTTGAAAGCTTAAGGACCTTGTAAAATTCAAAGTACTAAAATGATGCACAAACGGTAGATCGGAAACAATAAGGAATTATATGAATATGAACAGATGGCTTACAATCTTAAATGTCATGGTTGCTTGATGACTAAACTTGAACATAAACTTCTTAACGGAGATATTTGGAATGCATAGAGAACGTGAAAAACTTAAAAACATATGAATGTAAAGATTTCATAATCTGAGAAAAGTATCGAGATAAGGAAAGCTAACTGAATATCAATTTCAAGTTCAAACTCAACCAAATTATAATTTAAATCAATATGTTACGGATGATCTTCTCATCTTCAAAAGTCTAATTGGCTCTTTGGGATTTTTTTATTGTCTTGAATGTTAAACAATTAAGTGCTGATGTCTTTTAATGATTGATGCTCGTATCTTTAAATAGGTCGTTACATTATGCATTTCAATCATCCTCCGCAAGAATCTATAATTGCATTGACTTGCAATGTATATGAGGGATGACTTGTAGTTGCTCCCGATTCTTTAGCAAAAGTTATTTCTAGTGAATGGATGCTCCTTGATTCAATCTTCAACTTGTGCGCATGCTTTGAGTTGATTGATCATGGCCTCGTATCATATACCCCATCTAAGCTTTATCCATTAAAAACTTATTGTCACTGAGCTCACCAGGTGTTACATCGATAGTCTTTGTGGGTCAGTTGTACTTTTATGACCTTCATGATTGACGAACTTGTTAAATGTTCTCATCGATTAAACCTTACGGGTTAAATTTGGGCCAGTAACTCCTTTTGTTTGGGCCCATATTTTAGGCCTAGTGTCCACGGTAACACAATGAGGAACGTAAAAACCCAATAAACAAGGATAAAGTTGCAAAACACTTAAAAAAAAGACAAAAGGTAAATTCTCTAATGAGTTAAAATTTATCGAACTAACAATTGAACATGAAAAATATTCGGTTCTTAACCCTTGAAAGCTTTAAACTTATATTAACCGGAAAATTAAATCTAGAAATGAATAAAAGAAACAGCCAACGAGCTCAAAACAATTCAAATTAGATAGCATCCCCAAAACACATGAGACTAATAAATTGAGAGCCTGAAAACGACCTCAGATGGGGTTTCCCCAATTGGAACACACACATAAAATTTTAAAGGGATATGTGCACCGAAAGTTTTAAAAATTATCACGAAAATGCAGTTGAATCTTAAAACTTATAAAAAGTGTAATCAAGTCCTAAAACTTGTCAAATTGATGCAATCAAGTCATTCCATTAACTTCGTTCAACTTGACTAACGAAAAACGCTGGCGTGGCTTTTTTAATATTTTCTCTCTCATAAGTGGTAATGATATGGCTAAAACACGAAATATAAGATTAAAAGGACATGTCCAAACCTGATTTTTAATACAAATTTTATTTGAATTTTAAAAAAAAAGCTAAATGAAGTAAAAGGTTGAGATCCAGGTGACAAGGGCTTGCCCAGCCTTCCCCGCCACCCCCACCATCGCTAGTCTTGCCAACGAAGGTCAACAGCCCTCACCCCGGTCAAGTCGAGGGCCACCATTGGTAGGGGTTAGCCGCCAATCGCTGCCCTTGCTCGCTCTAGGGGACGACCGCGACCAGATCTGAGCAAGGGCTTGTTCACCTAGATATGGAAGAGGGCTTGTAGGCCCTCGCCTACGATTGGCAAGAGTTGCCAACGACTAGTCGGGCCTCGGTGAACCTCACCGCTGATTCTCAACTTTTTTTTTTTTTATAGCTTATTTTTAAATTTAATTTAAATAAATTTTGTATTGAAAATCAAAATTTGGAAAAAATGACGTCATTTTAGCCTCGTAGGAGAGAGAAGATATTTAACAAAAGTAATGTCAGCATTTTCCGTCAGCCAAGTTGGGCGAAGTTAACCGAATGACTCAATTGCACCAATTGAACAAGTTTTAGGACTTATTTGTATTTTCTGCATTTTTTAGGAATAAATTGCATTTGCATGATAAGTTTTAGAACTTTCAATGCACATATCCCAACTTTTAAATGAAAACTTCTGTATTGATAATACGAGTCTCGTAATTCTTTTCGTATAATAAGTAAACAATAAGCAAAATCTATTGAGCTCGCCTTTTAGACTTCTAGCTTTTGTCTAAACGCTCCAGAAATTAATTAGCAACCACATTCGCGTATTGAACGTGAAGTTAATATGTTGTGCCAAAATTGTTCTAACCCCAAACTGCTACACTTGTAACAATTTTATCAAAAACTGATACATCTGTGATAAATTTACTCTCTGTTAGTTTTCAATAAATTTTACAGTCAAATTGCTGAATTGGATACACGTGGCAGTTGACGGGTGTACCGGTTTGGGGATTTACCTTCCGTTTGTCACAAGTATACTAATTTGTGATTTTTTGTGATATTAATCCAATTTAACATAAATTAATAGAGGGTAAATTTGTAACAAATGCATCAGTTTGAAATTTTTTTGTAGTCAAAAAATTAGTTTAGGGTAAATTTGTCACAGGCGTACAAGTTTGGAGTTTTTGGTGATAAAAAAATTAGTTTGGAGTAAATTTATCACATGTACGTCAGTTTGGAGTTTTTCGTAGTATTAATTTTTTTTTCTTATTAATTAATCACCTATTTTCGCCTTCCCCAGAAATGATTGCATCTAAGAAGAGACCTAGAGAATGACATTTGAGACAGAAGCTACGAGATAAAAAGGTGAATAGTATAATTTCGACTATAATAATCATGAAAAGTGATTCTTAGCGAATGAATTTGGAGAGAGAGAATTGAACCAACTAACATTCAAATGTGAAATGATTAAAGCCACCGACTTTGAATGCCCTAATTCTATGTTTTAGGCTTTGCGTTGCTTATGCCCTGTGGTGAAGGGGTCACGGCTCCGCCGCTGATTTCGATTTCATTCATTATGGAAGAACTGGGACGATAAGTTAGCAAGGGTGATGCACCGTCGATGGTGACATTTTGAGGGCTAATCCACTTAGTGGTCCTAACCAAAGCCAAACGCTACTTAAAAAAAGAAGAAAAGAAACGCATATGCTTATTTTTGGTAAAATAATAACAGAAATAGGACAATTCTTTTTATTTCTTATATGTATTTCGTATAACAAGGTTCTTTATAATTTTCGCATCACCCCGGAAAAAAAACAATAATAATAAAGTTTAGAAATTGGTTATGGAGCAAAACAAGATTGTAATTTGTTAAAGTATCCCGCACCGCTTGTCTACGAGATTTATACGGTTATTATTAATATGGTCTCCCTTAATCTATAAATTTAAACAATTGAGTTGAACTTTCTATCTTGATATCAGAGCCTATGCGGCCTCTCATTGCGCGAAATTTCACGTGTGCGCTCCTAATTTGACTAGCATATGAAAGATTATGTTAAAGCATCTCATATCACTACATAAGATCCACCTATAAACCTAAACTTTTGCATTGTAGTCTCTAAATCGAAAAATTATAATTCGTCCCAAAGTTTAGGGTTAAATTACTTTTGCCCCTTGTTGTTTCACTTTTCTAATTTACCATATTGGGCCGTATTAAGACGAGTACGCTAAATTAGGGGGTAGATTGAGAAAAATGAAAAGAAAACAGGGTCGAAAGTGAAAGAAAAGCAAAACTCTTGTTTTGAGTGGTATGAGTGTATCTTGCTATACCATCCTTGAACAAGTGCCTCTCTATTTGTTAGATTGCGTTTTGAACTATAATTCTTTAATCAATTATCTTAAGATCCTAGCACCCCTCGTCACGAGCTACCAATAGGACAAATAAAAAAATTCGAGGAATGTGCGAATCCGTTTCTCCCTGATCTAAGAGATTGCGAAACCCATCACGCTTCACAAACGAAACGAGAAAAGGAAATGCCAGGAAATCAAATGCAAATTTGACTTTGATAGATTGATATTATTTAATATTATTTCAAGCAGAGCTTAAAGTGCTTCCCACCTTTTCCTAGGGATAGAAAGACGGTGGTACGTGGTCAGAAATCACCATCTATTAAATGTTGCATGTCATAAGCTGAAATGAATAAATCATGCTCGATTTTTCTCGTGTGATACGCAATCCGAAACTCGAAAAACATATGCAATAGAGCATATGCATATAAAGTTTTTTTTTTTTGCAATCCAGGGAATCCCGCACCGCCGACAGCCGGAGAGTAAACCTTGGGGGCGACACATGCTAGCCACCACACACGTGCCATCGGTTAAGTCACCCTGCGGTGCCCGGGATTCGAACACTCAACCTTTTACGAGAGGAAGAGTGCGCGCTTCAGCAGCGCCACCCAGGCGGGTAGTGCATATGCATATAAAGTTCGTTGCATCAAAAGAAGATAAATCGAACCGCTGACATTATTTATATTAGGAAATCGATGAAGTTAGAAATATGCCGATTTAATGATAAGATTTATCTAATTTCCGCACGATATTTGGTATAGAGTTAATATAAAGTACATGTTTGAGTGCGACACGAACCCACTTCTTTAAGGATGTAAGAAACCCAGTGAAAGAAAACTTCTGCCAAACCTTTAGCACCTGCAAAAGTTTAAGCCCCACAACACAGTACAATCATCCATTTCGACATTGTTTTTTTGGTCTTTTTCCAATCTTTACAGATGCGATCAAAAGAAAGTTGCACATCTTTAGCGATTTCCTTAAACCACATTATCTCTTCACCCACCAACCCCAAAATCAAAATTCACAAAGCATTTGGACATGGCGAAAAAAATTTAATTGGAAGCGAAGCCGGAAAATGGAATATGCTTGTTCACCTATGTGGACCAACGCAGTCGTAGGAGGAGCTGCTGCTCATGAGCTCCTCCAAGTACTCCGGCCCCAGATCCTCCAAAACGACGACGTTCTCGACCCTCGTCGCTCCTCTCTCCTTCCTCCTCGCGCCCGACATTTTCCTCCTCATGCTATGCCTCTTCTTGAGAGCCACCACGGGGGAGAGCCCGCCGTCTCGATCGCAACCCGCCAGTCTCATCTCCTTGAGCGACTCCCGGACTAGCTCCGCGGGGAAATTCAGCACGGCAGCGCTCCCCCGCATCGAGAAGGCGGCCTGGTCGTAAGCAAGGGCCGCCGCCTCGGCGCTGTCGAACGTGCCTAACCAGACCCGGACGCCGTGCCTGGTGGAATCCCGGATCTCCGCGGCGAACTTCCCCCACGGCCTCGTCCGCACACCCCGGTAGGACTTCCCGTCACGGGGATCGTTCTCTCGCTCGCGCGACGACACTTCCTCTTCCTTAATCCGGGCGGGCGAGAGCGTCTCCCACGTCCCCCGAGACATTTCGGTGAGGAGATCCAAGAGGGGCATTTCCTCGGAGTCGTTCTCGTTGAAGGGAAGCGAGGCGGCACCGAGGCCAAGGGCGTTCCACGGTTGGCGGCGTTCCGGCGAATTGAAGGATGAGTTAGAGGAAACGTCGGAAATTGGAGAGTGGAAAATGAAGGAATCCATTGAAAGTGGAAGAGGATGTGGAGAGAATTTGGTTTTAAGGTTGATGGGGGAGGGAGTGATTCTGCTTTTCTTTTGGAGTGTACAAGTAGCTCAAGCAAGTTGGTCCCAATTTATACTAATTTGGCATATGAGAGGATGACTATCTGAATTGATCGCACTAAGATACCATGAAGTGGAGAAAAGGACGATAAGAACAAGCTAATTGATGTAGTTAAAATGCCCCAAAAACTAAAGAAAATAAAAAGAAACAACGTCATGGGATTTGTCCTTTATGGAAAAGGTTGCTCTTCTTTATGTAGGATTTGCGCTTAGATATGAACACATGGGTCAATTGACTGGCGGCAGGTCAGAGAAGAATTTTAGGGTGACGCCATATTGTGTTACATAGGATGGTGCCTACTTATCCACATGTCTTTTGTTAAGGGGATGATGTTGATCTCCTAGATCGCCAGCACCACTCCCCCCCTAATTCATCTTGGTCCTAGGTTGTTAGATAACTGCCCATGCCACATGAATTTGTCATGGGTTACTCAAATTTGGGAGAAATGCGAAGAATCGCACACTCTAGCATCCTTTTGAACTTCTGATATCATAAGAAAATCGAATATTTTGTAATGGATAAGCAGCCCTTATGATAATATCCAGAGAGGGTCATTAACATTAGTCGCCAATCTGTGTCATTAAAAATTTACTCAAACTTTTCATGAAAATACTAGATTGCATGCCCATGCTATGAGCATGCATTTATCGTTATTATGTTTGATTTTGTACGTGTCGTTAGTGCATAATTTCTATTAAAAAAGTATACTTTTTCGAAAACGAAAAAATTTTGCACACAACACAATAATCAGCATAATCAAATTTAGAACCCTCCTACACTAGAGAAAGATACTGGTGTGCCCTTTGTGGTCTGCTGGTGGAATATCATATAGAATTATATTTTAAGACAAACCTAAAATTGAGACCAACCCCTCTTTTCTACTTATGTATTTGATAACAACATGGTTATAACTTTCTTGCTAAACTTTGCTTGAAAAGTCCGCACATCATCCCAAATGGCTCACATCGGACAAGAAAAAGTTCCGCGGATGCCCTCATGCCAAGGGCACGTCTAATGTGTTGGAACCCACCTAATATGGAATTTGCGGGTGCGTACGACATGACGTAAGCCACAAGGGTTTGGTTAAGCAATCAAACTATCGACATCGTGTTTATTGTTCAAAAGGTTATAAATCTATTATATGTTGATCAATTCAGTTCTAAATTTTTTAATTTGATTAATTCTTTTATTGTTTTCACTGCTCTCTTTTATGTATACGTGTGTGCGGTGCTCACGAGGATCAAATCCCGGATCTGGTACTCTTTGGCCCCACCCCCCCATGTAGGGCTGCATCAATCCTAAACCTTTTGACGCTTTTTCAATATAGTCCTTAACTTTTTACGATTTGCCAATGTAATTTTTCAGGACATTTTGACTGTTGGTCAAGTTGAAAAGTTTATGATTACATTAACTGTTGTATAATAGGTTTAGGACTTTTTGGACGATTTTCCTCACGTGTGAGGCCTTGAATATAGATTTAATCGATTGCAACATCCTAAAGGAAATCAGGGATTTCTTGTGATTTTCTAGTCTTTATTATGGATGGTATGCTCTTAATCGGATCAAGGAGACCGACTTAATTTGATGTGTAAAACGTGGTAACACCACCTGATTCACCGAAGAAAGAGCGACTTTTAAATACATAGTATTCCGCTAATCATGCCCTTGACTACGTTACGCAAATGCGTCAATGGTATTGTTTTCACCACACTTTTCCTTAGGTTGGAGACTTCGAGTGACGTCTTTTCGTGCTTTTGATGAGCACTTCGTTATAATTCACCCTGAAGAATCAAAGTCAAGTCAAGTAATTCATTATTACCGCTTTTGCTTTCAATCATGAATGAGAAAGCACTTGTAGCAAGAGAAATCTAGGAGATATTGTCATAACAAATTGGAATTCAAAAGAATAAGATGGTTGTATGAATTTGGACCAATAGTTTGACATCCTATCGAATGTTTTGACCATTGGTTCAGTTTTAATTTTTCATATTATCTTTCTAATTGAAACTTACACGTTAGAATCAGAATATTTGCTAAGTGACATGAACCTAGCACAACGAAACAAGAGAGGCTATCATTAGAGCCCAACCCTAGTTGACAATTGAGACCTTCTCTCTTCACGCATTGTAGGACAAAAACGCATGATTGTCGATGTATATCCCCTCATGTCTCTAAGTTTCATGTGAAACCTTTACATGAAAAATCACAATTTGCTGCTGGTTCCACGTGACTCTCTTCTTCACTTTCCACACCACTTCATCATAATGACTCCCCAAAATTCTCCTCCGCAACCTTCCATGGATTGTGATACAAGAATCAAATCACCATCATATTCATCAATCACTCTTGAAGAAAATGGCTACAAGTGGTCTCTAGATACAGATCCCCTAGCCCTTGAAGCTCAAAGGAAAGTAAGAAAAGGACAATAATGCATCAAAAGTCATTAAAACTAGGTAGTGTTGAGGTTTTTGATGGTCCTCCAAGAAAAAAGGGATACTATTTTAATACCTTGACAGTGACATTTTCTCTCACAAGTCCAAACTGAGTTAGGTGTCTGTGAAATTGAAGCTTCTAGGAAAGCCCATTTTGGGATATCTTTCAAGGCATCTGATCGGCGGGGAAAGGGGACAAAAAGTTCCACTCAAGTTTGATTAATCTTTGCTTGAGTAGAGCAGTGTCGAGCAACAATTTCTCTTACCTGCCCAAATTTTCTGGCCTTTAATTTTCTTGGAAAAATCAAATCAGAAGGGAAAGAGACGAGAAACTAATGCCATTCTTGACCAGAGACTTTAGAGGGTTTGTGAACTTGGGCTTGTTAGTTGCTATTATAACTCTGATTTACGTGTCAATGATGCCATGTCAATAAGTCTTGTGAGTTAACCTTTCACTTCCAAAGTTACATATCGAAAAATGCAGGACATCTTGTAACTCTTCGATTAAGTGTGGATCGTCTCCAATGCAGTGTGCCCTCGTTAGTAATGATATTTTCAACCACAAATTTTGGGGTTTCGAGGGGAAAAAGGTTTGGTGTTTAATGTTATTCATGACTATCTTAAAGATGATCTTTGGAGCACTTCTTGAGAGTAATTATATACATTTTGCAATAGTAAATTTTGGGGTAATGACGCTAGTAGTTCTTGAACTTCTGCTCATTATTTAATATTATCCCAAAATCCTTTTCAGTTCTATATTGTCCCCGAGCTTTTAAAAAGTGGTTCAATGTGGTCATTCCGTTAAAATCATTGACGGAATCTACTGATGTTGACGGAATATTCCATTTAGTTCATGACTTGTCATTATTTTTGTTCAATTTCATCTCATATTCAATTATTTATTCAATTTAGTCCTTGAACTGTTTTCTTCTCTCTCTCATACACACACAATTGCACTATGTCATATTAGATTTTAGTCCCAACCACAAAATGTTTATTAATAATGTCACGACATTAAATCCCAATGATTACACGTAAATTAAATGGATTACAAAACGCGCAACATTTAAGATATGAATTCTTATATATAAAAATGCTTACTTGTGTGTACACGTTGTAAGTACTTCTAAGTTTATATAAATATGTCTGTTAACACAAACAACATTTAGATTGTTAACCGAGTCCAAGCACGTTATAAATGGGGAAAAGGGTTGATCCATACTTACATGCTTATTATTCATCACGTTTATGCTTATTCAAACATATCAACATGTGTAGTGTGTATGTTTTGTCAAAAGGGTGAGGTAGAAAATTACTAGTCCTAGATAAGCGTCATCGAGATTTTTCTTGAAAAACATTTGATGACCCTCACCACGCTCAAGTGAAGGCTGTTAGAGAAAAAGAACCAAAACATAATAGTTCAAAACACCATTAAACAAACAAATAAAGTTTAAGGATAGAATCGAATAAAAGAACGAAAACTCTATAACTTTAACGGCCACGAGAATATTTCGTTAAATTTTTAATGGAATTACCACATGGAACAAAAATTAGACAACTCAAGGACGACATCGAGCACAAAAAGAATTTAGAAATGACATTGGACAATGACTAAGCGTTCAAGAACTATTGGTATGGTTACCCCTAAAATTTTGCCCCTTAAAAAAGTGTACAATCTATTCAACATCTAAACTGTGTTGAGAAGTACTTCTATCAGTTTTAGTTAAGGGTCAAAGTTTGCTTTTAATCTTTGAAGTTATCATATTTGTGAGAGGTGGGCTCTTCGTTTTTTTCATGTTAGGAGGTAAAAAATCCTCTAACTTACAGAATTGGCGCATTTCAGGATTGTCACTAACACCACTAGGGCATTGACATGATGTGTTGTGAAAATTTTTAGCATGAAAGAAATCAATTAGCGGAAATTCTTTTCTGAGAAAATATTTTTCTCATTTTTTGATGTTTGCATTGCTTAGAAAAATAAGTCAATGGAAAAACCATGCGTAATTCAAGAAATGATTTCTTCCTTCAAAAAATAGAAATCATTTTCCAAAATACGACTAAACATCGGCACTTAGACCATAAACTCTACCCTTGGCCACAGGAACCTCAAAGCCCATTCTTGGGTCCTTGGCAACAAGCCTGGGGATAGAAGCTAAGGCCAGATCCATCGGGATCAGGCTCAGGCACATCGAGGCTAGGCCTAGAACCCCGATGCCCGATGCTCAAGCTCCATAAAGGTTGGGCCCGAGATGCTGGTGCCTATGCTCGGGTCCCTAACACTTGGCTCAGGTCCTTAAAAAACAAGCCTTGCACCCTGGTGCTCGAGCTTGGGTCAACATAAGCCGGACCCAGGACCCCGACACCTAAGCCCGAGTACATAAAGACTGGCCTTGAGTAAGAGGCCGCGCCTGAGACCCTAATGCCAATGCTTGGGTCCTTGGTGTCTGGGCCTTAATCCACAGAGGCTAGGCCGATCTCAATTGCCATGCCCCGCTCCCCGGCTCCCTGGCACCCAAGCCCAAGTCTATAAATGCCGGGCTTTAGATCCCGGTGCCGGTGCCCAAATCTTGACCGTCTAAGCTCGGGTCTGCAAAGGCCAAGCCCATAAC